AAAAATATGGGAAACTATGGGAAGTGGGGGGAAGACAAAAAGCCAGAAAATATGAGAAAGTATGCGGAATTATTTTATTCGTGTGTATCTATTTGTGTGTCCTTGGGCCCCTTCATTGGAGCATCCCTGAAGCTGTCCCAGGCACTACCCGCAGCGATTCGATTCGATTTCGATGGCATCCGATTCCTATTCCGATTCGACTTGGGATTCCGATGTGGGTTTCGACTTCGTATTGGAGGCATACCAGCCCGCCGACTTCCGCCGATTCGATTTTTCCCGACTCGGCTGCCGACTTCCGCCGATCCGATTCCTTTCGACCGCTGATCTGATTGATTGACTCGATTCTAGGCTCTTCTGCACCCGGAGCTTCCAGACGACTTCCAAAGGAGTCCAATCCAATGCGGGCCGAGAACGCTGCTTCCGGACAACCCCAGGACGGCCCAAGATGGCTTCAAGACGGCTCCACACGCCCCCACATCGCCCCAAGACGACTCAAAGAGGACACCCAATACGGCCCCAAGCGGTAGGCGCAAATCGCCCCAATCCCTGGGGAGGCGCGCACGTCGAGACGGCCTACGGAGCCTCCGAGATTGCCCCAAGACGGCCCAACAGGCCCCCAACGAAGGCCCAGGGAAACCCAAGAGGCCCCCAAGACGGCCCACGAGAGCCCAGAAAGGGCCCCACGAGGGGGCCCAGACGCCCCCAGAGGCCTTGGGGCTTTGCTGTGTTCCTGCTCGTTAACATCTGTCACGTGTCCAGAGCTACACTGTCAATGCCGTGTTTTCCTGCGGCTTTGCTGTGTTTCTGCTCGCAACGCACACCGCCAGAGGCGACGGAGAGCTCGAGAGATCCACCCACCAGAAGAGCCAAGAGACCCCCCAGAAGGCCGAAGCCGCCGCAAGAAAGGGCCCCCACGAGAGCCACTGCAGCCGGTTGGCTCAAGCTGCACGGGCTCGAGCTTCCGGGTGTTCGGGCTCGGGCAGCCCCTCGGGAATTTAATTGTCGAGTAGTGGATCGACTACATTGTGGCACTGGTGTTCCACGGAACATTGTAGCTATAGTTCCCAGACTCGGCGGGACAATCCCGAGCATTTTCTTCGGGTGAAGGGCAAAGGGTGAAATTTGAAATGCCATTTCGATGGATTTTCAAAGCCTGAATCTGCAAAGGGTGAACCACAAGACGGATGGATTCTCGAGGTGCGGAAGCCTACCTGGCTTTCGCCCTGAGCCCTCCACCACCAGTCGGGCCGGGCGAAAGAGGGGGATTGGGAAAGGGGGGTTACGAAATTTGTTGCATGCAGCTGGTTTCGGCCTCACCGAGGGGCCCGTTCCTCGATACATGGCCGCCTCCGGCGCCGAGAGGCTCCGGAAAAACCAGCTACGTGAGCTGATTCTCACCCCCCCCCTTTGCTATCCCCCCCTTTCGCCCGACCCGAACCGGGGCATGCCCAGGAATCAGCTCCGAGGCACGCCGATCTTGTCATCGATCCTTCGCTCGAACCTCTGCGAGGCTGGCGATCCAGCAGCGTCGCCCCGACTCTGAGCCTGTTTTTCTTTGGATTCGGGCAAGTTTACTTGCATGGACGGAGGGGGGGGGGGCTGAGTCTGAAGCAAGCCGAAAACAATTCGACGTGCGGAAATCACGCAAGTCGAAAGGCACTGGCACGCTCGTGTTCGATTGAAGAGGGGGGGGGGGGGGGGGGGGGGGGGGGGGGCGAACGCCATGCAAGTCAGCTTGCCTGGAAATAAATAAAAACAGGCGACTCTCTGCCGCTGCCTCCTCCTCCTCCTCCTCCTCCTCCTCCTCCTCCTCCTCCTCCTCCTCCCCCTCCTCCTCCGCCTCCTCCTCCTCCTCCGCCTCCTCCTCCCCCTCCCCCTCTCTGCCTCTCGCCGGGCACGTGCGCGGGCACCTCTCCGGGCCGGCGGGCCCGAGCGCCCCTGCTCCCGCGCCGCGGCCGAGCCGGAGGCCGCCGCCGCGGGGCATCGCCCGAGCGGGCGCGGCGCTCGCCCCGAGGCCAGAGGGGCCTCGCCGTCTGGGGGCGGATGCGCCCGGTGCTCAGTGCGGGCAGTACTTATATCCATATCCAGAGCGTCGTGGACTTTTTGGGAAGAGGTGCCGCAACGCCGAGGCGCACCGGACATGGATAAAATCAAGCCTCTTGGGGCCAGATTTTTACCCATATCCAGTGCGTCTACGATTTCTGGGGAAGAGAGCCCGAGAATCCACGACGCACTGGATGTGGATATAACTATTGCCCGCACTCAGAGGAGGGAAAGATGCCCGTACCCCCACCCTCGACTCGTTTTCCCCTCTCTGCAGCCTCCTGGGCGGCCCTCGTCGCCACCGCCGGATTCGCCTCGAGATCCTGGGCAGAACGCACCCCCGGAGGGGTCCGGGGAGTGGCGGTGTCGGTAGCCTTTTGGGTCTCCCCGGAGGAGGCCGCGGTGGGCGCAGGAGCGGCCAGAGCGGACAGTGGGCGAACGCTGTGGTGGGCGGATGCCGAGGACGAGGAGGATCGAGTGGGGGATCGGCTGCAGAATCGGCTTCTCACCCCAGAGTTGATTTCCCGTCGAGTCTACGAGCCATACCCACAGTGTTCCAAAGGATCTTCGGACTATTCTGCATGTCTTCGTTTTCTCAACCCGCATGTTAAGATTGGGGTGCAGTCAGCCCGCATGGTAAGGATGGGCAACCTTCCCGAGGGTACCTCTTGCATACGTGCCTCCTCGGCCCAGCATTGGCCGCTCTCACCGGCCGCGCCCCGCTCGCCAGGTGTCGACGTGGCCTCTCGAGGCCCCCTGCGTCCTCCTCGCGCCTCCTTCTGATACTGGTGGACTGCAACTCGATTCTGCAGTCGTCAGGAGGGGAACAAAAACACACACACACAGACAGAATTGAACCGTCGACTCCCAGGAAAACGTAGGAAAATATGGGAGGTGGGAGGGGGGGGGGAAGACGAATTCACCCTGACAAAATATGGGAGCGCGTGGGGAATCCTGTGGCTTGTGCTGATTTATGTGTGCGTATGTGTGTGTATCCCAGGGCCCCTTCAAGTGAAAGCGGATGAGTGGGGAATGTCGGGAAATCAGCTCCTGAAGTGCGCATTGTCCTGAGCAGACCCCCGACGCGCGCAGCTTCTCATGCGAGGCCACGGCTTCCCCCGCCTCGCCCTCAAGGGGGGCCCTGGCGCATGCCCGCACAGGCGTCCCGTTCCGTTCCGCTCCCAGGGCCCCTTCCAGTCGATCCCCCGCTCGGGAGGAGTGGGCCACGGCCACGGCCGGCGGCGACGGCGCCGGCGGCGACGGCGCCCGCGGCGGGGCGGCGGCCGCGGCGCCGGGAGCAGCCGCGGGGCGGGGCCGCGGCGGCGGGCCAGACGGGGGCGCACCCGTGGGCGCGGGCCCCCGCGGGGAGGCGTGGGGCCCAGGCGGAGCTCTGGGCCCGAGGGCGGAGCAGGGCCTCAGGACGCCGAGGTGCTCCTCCTCCTCTTTCCTCCTCCTCTTTCCTCTTTCCTCTTTCCTCCTCTTTCCTCCTCTTTCCTCCTCCTCTTTCCTCCTCCTCTTTCCTCCTCTTTCCTCCTCCTCCTCCTCCTCCTCCTCCTCCTCCTCCTCCTCCTCCACTGAGGTACACGCCCAGGGCGGGCAGGGCGGAAGCGCCCGGAGGCCAGAAGGGGGCAAGACAGACCGATACCGCTACCCTTTGGCCCGTTCTCGCCGTTTCGGGGGTCCTGGGCCCCCGTCGCCGACGCTGGGTTCGCCTCGAGATCTGGGCCAGAAGGCAGCCCGGGAGAGGTACGGGGAGCAGCGGTGTGGGCACCTTTTTCGGGTCGGGCGAAAGGGGGGGATAGCAAAGGGGGGGGGCTGAGAATCAGCTCACTATAGCTGACCTTCCTGGCGCCTCCCGGCGGCCACGCATCGAGGAACGGGCCCCCTCGGTGGGGCCGAAACCAGCTGCATCTGCAGCAGATTTCGGCACCCCCCTGTTCCAATCCCCCCCTTGCCCAGGAGGGGAAAAAACACACAGACACAATTAATCCTCGATTCCGAAGAAAATACGGGAAAATATGGGAAGTGGGGGGGAAGACAGAAACCCAGAAAATATTGGGAAAATATGGGGAATCGTTTTATTTGTGTGTATTTATTTGTGTGTCCCAGTTCCCCTGCACTTTGGTCTCCCCAGGAGGGGCGCCCCCCCTGGCGAGCCCCAGCGGCAGCGCCGAGGCGCCCTCCGCCGGGGCGGGCCGCGGCGCCGGGCGCGGCCGCGGCCTCCGCCTCAGCGCGCGGGCGGTCCCGGCCGTCGTGCGCGAGCCGCCCGAGGACGATGCGCTCAGCTGCTGCGGCTCGGTCGACCACGACTCGTCGGATGTCTGGGCACGACAATAAATAATCGGGCCGGACGAGAGGGGGGGGATTTGGAAAGGGGGGGTCACGAAATCTGCCGCATATGCAGCCGGTTTCGGCCCCCCCGAGGGGTCCGTTCCTCGATACATGGCCGCCTCCAGCGCTGGGAGGCGCCGGGAAAATCAGCTACGTGAGCTGATTCTCAAGCCCCCCCTTTGCTATCCCCCCCTTTCGCCCGACCCGAAATAACAAACCGCAGCCACAACGGAGTGGATTTGTCTGGAGGGCCCCTCGGGGAGGACCCACCTGCCTCGACGTGAGCACTCTGGTTGTGGTCGTGGTCGATTGGGCCGTCTGGGACGCCCACATCGCGACCACAGCCAGTGCTAAGCTGGTCTCGGTGTGTGGACTGTGGACAATGTGTCAACATGCGCAAGGCATCCCCCAGGGTGCGTTCTCGATGTGGTTGCGGTCGCTTGCTGTCCCCGTAGGATGCTCGCGCCGACCTTACGGGCAGGGGGGGCGAGAATCCACCGACTAGCACGCAGAGCGATCAGGCATCAGCCTCTCCCAACGCAACAGCGCCTCTGAGCAGTACTGCCAGAATGTTCTCCCCTGCGGATCGCAGTGCAGTGGTGTTCGTGCCAAGCTGCCCACAACAGATGGCGGGCTCGCTCGGCCGCGCCCTCTTCGTTCCATGGCATGGGCTGGATCCTGACGTCCAACACCTGGCGACTGGCAAACAACAGCTCACCACGGTACTCATCAGAAACGTGCCACATGGTGTCACACGTGATGAGATGCTCATCAAGGTGAACACGAAAGGATTCGAGGGTGCTTACGATTTGTTTTATTCAATCGCTTCGCTCATTCCGCCGTCCCATGTTGCATGATCGCTACTGCGTCGCCGTGGGCCCTGGGCCATTGTGGCGCCGCCGAGGAGGAGGAGGAGGAAGATGAGGATGGGGAAGGGGAGGGGAGGAGGAGGAGATGATGAGAAGAAGAGGAGGAGACGGATGAAGATAATTAAGTAGGAGGAGGAGGATGATGAGGAGGAGGAGGAGGAGTAGGAGGAAGCCTCTCGTTGGCATTTTGTTTTGCTCTTGGGGCCAAACAGGGTCGTCGTCAAGATGCTTCTTTGGGAGGCCTCTTGGGGTCTTTTGAGAAGCCGTTCGGGGGCGCCTGGGAGGCATTTTTGAACTTCTGGGGCCTCTTTTGGGCCTCCTGGGGGCCTCCTGGGGCCTCCTGGGGGCCTCTTGGCGGCATCTTGGGGCCTCTTGGGGGCCTCTTGGGGGCCTCTCGGGGCCTCCTGGGGCCCTCTTGGGACGGAATGCTCGAGTTTTCGTTTCGTGGTCCCCCTCGTGGGCCCCTCTTGGGGCCGTCTTGGGGTCGTCTTGGGCCGTCTTTGGCGCCTCTTGGCCCGTCTCGGGGCCCTCTTTGGCCCTCTTGGGGTCCTCTTGGAAGCCTCTTGGCCCGTCTTGGGGCGCTCTTGGGGGCCTCTTGGGCCGTCTTGGAGCATCGGATGGCCGAAAAGGCGACAAGGCCAAAATCCTTCCAAAACCATTGTATAACTGATGATTTTGGCCTCTCGGGCCCTCTTGTGAGGCCTCTTGGAGGCCACTTGGAGGCCTCTTGGGCCGTCTTGGGGTCATCATCTGCGTCTTGGAGCGCTCTTTGGGTGTCTCGGGGGCCTCTTGGGCAGTCTTGGGGACCTCTTGGGTCAGGAGGGGGGGTAGTCGATTGCGCCCCTCCCCTCGGAGGCCACGATCCTCGTGAGCGGTGTCGAAGAATTGCCCGGTCTTGCATCTCTGGTCCGAGTGTCCCGGGGGTCTCCCGGGGTACTTTTCGTCCGGGGACCCCCAGGGGCGGCCCCGCGCGCGCAATGTAGAATACTGTTAACCAGTTACCGGAGATCTTAGCACGCCCTTAGCCCGTTGGGCCAGCGACTTTGCCAATAGACTTCAGGACCCACGACAACAAGGGCTATTGTTTCTTGAACTTTGTGAGCGAGGAGCTCGCACGCAGTTTCATCGGCGCCTTCAACGGCTTCTCAGAGTGGCCTATGCGGAGCAGGAGGGTGTGCACCGTAGAGTGGTCTGTGACGCAGGGGTTCAATTTAATCGCCGACCTCTGTCGGAACAGTCGGATCCTTGGAGATCACGTCCCCGACAAGTTCAAACCTGTAGTCTTTGTCGGCAAGACTCGTGTCTCCTTCCCAGAGCCTGCGTAGCATCATGCCCATTCGGCCCGTTCCTGCTACGAGCATTCGAACTTTTGAGTGCTGGGACAGCTCCCGTTGCCAATAGACTTCAGGACCCACGACAACAAGGGCTATTGTTTCTTGAACTTTGTGAGCGAGGAGCTCGCACGCAGTTTCATCGGCGCCTTCAACGGCTTCACAGAGTGGCCTATGCGGAGCAGGAGGGTGTGCACCGTAGAGTGGTCTGTGACGCAGGGGTTCAATTTGATCGTCGACCTCTGTCGGAACAGTCGGATCCTTGGAGATCACGTCCCCGACAAGTTCAAACCTGTAGTCTTTGTCGGCAAGACTCGTGTCTCCTTCCCAGAGCCCGCGTAGCATCATGCCCATTCGGCCCGTTCCTGCTACGAGCATTCGAACTTTTGAGTGCTGGGACAGCTCCCGTTGCCAATAGACTTCAGGACCCACGACAACAAGGGCTATTGTTTCTTGAACTTTGTGAGCGAGGAGCTCGCACGCAGTTTCATCGGCGCCTTCAACGGCTTCACAGAGTGGCCTATGCGGAGCAGGAGGGTGTGCACCGTAGAGTGGTCTGTGACGCAGGGGTTCAATTTGATCGTCGACCTCTGTCGGAACAGTCGGATCCTTGGAGATCACGTCCCCGACAAGTTCAAACCTGTAGTCTTTGTCGGCAAGACTCGTGTCTCCTTCCCAGAGCCCGCGTAGCATCATGCCCATTCGGCCCGTTCCTGCTACGAGCGGTCGAACTATTTAGTGCTGGGATATAGCTCCCGTTTCTCGTCTTGCATCGCCCTCCTCTGCCCTCTATGGCCCCCATTCGTCCTACCTCCTGGCTGCTGGTGTCAAACTTGCGCCCAGGTATTTCGGGCCCAGGGGCAGCGCACCTTCTCTTCAAAGCTCACCCCTGGGAGGAGATGGAGGAGGAGGAGGAGGAGGAGGAGGGGGAGGAGGAGGAGGAGAAGGACGAGGAGGAGAAGGAGGAGCAGGAGGAGGAGGAGGGACTACTACTTCAGAACCCGCTTTCGCCCCAGTCGCCCGGGACTCGTTCTAGCGATTCCTGGCAGCTGTGTCGGCCTCCAGAGCCGTCCGGAATGATCCTTGGGATTCCGCGGAGGCCGCCAAGGCGGGGAGCACGAACCGACATTGCGAGTCTTCCGCCCCAAGGGGTTCCCGGGAAACCTCGAGAAGGCTCCCAGATGCTGCCACGGGGCTCCAAGAGGACCACCAGAGGCCCCCACGATACCCCAAAAGGCTCCAAAACCAGCCCCAAGAGGCCAAACAACGGCTCCCCAAGGGCCCCGCGAGGCCTCCTTCGACATTCCTCCTTCCTTGCCATGTCCTGCCCAGCTCCTACCGTTCTTGTTTTGTTACGTTACGCCTCCCCCATTTCACTTCGCAGCCGCACCACCATGACAACATCTCTGAGTGGCTCACTCGGGCTGGCTCTCGGGCTTTGCAGCCTCCTTTAAGGTACCCTGGCAACCTCCACGAGGACTTCAATACGGCCCCACATTCCATGCTCCTGGGGAGCTGGAGAGCTTTCCGGGAACATGATTGTCACCGCTAGTCCGGCAAGAAGGCCGAAGATGAGGAGGTCGGGCCGCGGCAAAAATGATTGTTTTCGCTATGGTTTTCAAAAATTGTCGGTGCCCTCTCTTTCTCTACATTCTGACACTGCACGACGGTCCACAAGGCCACCGACACCGCCTCAGGACGGGCCCAGTGAAGTGTCCGTCTCGGAGGAGGAGGAGGCGGAGGATGAGGATGAGGCGGAACAGTTAGAGGAGGAGGAGGAGGAGGAGGAGAAAGGAGCGACACTGGGTTATGATTTTTTTTGTGTTTGGCTCGACAAGTTCGGGAGCAGGAAATGAGGTGGAGGAGGGGGAGGAGGAGGAGGAGGAGGAGGAGGAGGAGGAGGAGGCGGAGGAGGAGGAGCACGCGTAGGAGGCGGATGAGGAGCAGGAGGAGGAGGAGGAGGAGGAGGAGGAGGAGGAGGAGGAGGAATAGGAGCCCGTAGCCATTTTGGCTCAAGTCCGGATTGTCTTGGCACAGGACTTGGCCAGACTGGTGTGGGGGAGTGACGGCCCCCAAAGTCACGCCTCGTCACCTGGTCGGACGAGGGTGTTTGGCAGTTCTTCTTTCCTTCTTGTCAGTCTCGAATGACCCCGCAGCGGCATGGCAGCGGCTCCTTCGACACCTGGCAATGTCAGCACACGCGGTGCGGCTACCGCTTCAACTACGTGTCGCGCCCTCTGGCCCAGCGCCTTCGGCGGCGGGCGCGCGCACCCTCGGCGCATGGCCTGAGGGCCTGCCCCAGGCTGGCGGCGCTGGTCAGCGCGGTGGCGGTGCAGGCGGTGGCAAGGGCAGCGCTGCTCAGGACAACGTCTCCTACTTGGACCCTGCCGCCAACGCGATGCACGCGAAGCTCGAGCCCGCGGACTTCGAGGCCGTGTCAGCCGACTGGACGCCCAAGCTGGTCGCCAAGGTGGTCTCACACCGCGCGCTGCTGGCTGGTGAGCCGCGAGCCGAGGCACGCTCGGCCAGGATCGAGCAGGACGTCTTGGCCGACAAACGCGACAAGACTCAGCGAGCCTGCGATCGCGCCCAGGAGGCGGCGTTCAAGGCTGCCACGGCAGTTGCTGCTGCCAAGGAGGTGTTCGACGAGGCCAAGTCACGTTGAGCGGAGGCAGCCGCGCGGGCGGCCAAGGCCTACCAGGGCCTACCAGGGCATGGCGACGAGCTCGAATCCTGCCCTCGCTTTCTCGGCGTTGGCGGGCGGGCTCAAGGCCGATCCCAGGCTGGCGGCGTTCGCGCAGCAGTTGCAGGCGCTGGTACCCACGCTGCAGAAGCTGGCGAAGCCTGCGACGCCCGACGTGGTCATGGTCGACGACGAGCCTGGAGCCCTTCCTTCTGCTGCTGCGGGTGGTACTGGCCCTCATGCTCCTGCCGCTCCTGCTCAGCAGCCGCCTGCTGGAGCGCCCGCCGCTGCCGCGCCCGCCGCCGTCCAGGCCGCCAGGCACCCCCGCCGATGCTCGCGAGCGCGAGGCTGCCGCCGTGGCGCAGGCAGGGTCCGAGGCGCAACGTGCAGTTGGCGCCGCCACCGCCGACGCCGCGGCAGTGCGAGCTCGGGCCCGGCAGTCGCACGCCGAGCTTCTGCGCTGGCTCGAGCAGCAGCGCGGGGGGCAGCAGACGCACGACGTCGCCGAGCAGCAGGGAGTCAAGCATGAGTTGGTCAAAGGCATCTTCGACCAGCTCGTCGAGGCTGCCAAGAAGAAGGCTCGGGTGGACGGCGTGGCTGAAGCGGATATTTAGCTTGAATTTGGTCACGGTCAACGTTTCCGGACGCAGCGGCCTTGAGGACGCGCTTCAGAACGATCGGATTCGCGGTGCTCATGCAATTGCCGTGCAGGAGCAGCACATGTTGCGGGCGCAGTGCGACACTTGGGAGCAAAGGCTTCACGCCATGGGCTGGAAGGCCACCTTCGCTGCTGCCACCGCAACTTTGAGCGGCGGCACATCTGGAGGGCTCTTGCAGTGCGTGCCAGCTGCTTCAGGGCTGGCTGAAGTCGAGTGTACAGACAGCGCGCTGCACGGAGGAAGGGTGAGGATCCCAACTCGTCACGGCCTCACTCCTATGGGGTCTTGTGGGTCAACGCTTACTTGCGCCATCTTGATGGCATCTCTGGGACAAACTGGCGCATCCTCACTGATGTAGGTCAAGGTCAGGCTCTGAAGACCGTAGGTTTACCGTTTGTTGTCTGTGGCGTTTTCTAGATGCCACCCGAGGTGCTTCAGGGCAGTCTGTGGGTTGAAGCGGTTGATGGGGTCTGTCTCTTCCCGTCTGCCGCCACCTGCGCCACAGCCTCAGCTGGGCGGGTCATCGACTTTTTATCGTCTCGCAGTCGTTGGTTCATAGCACAACCGTTGAGATAGTCCCAGATGCTGGCACAACACCTCGCTTCCCAGTTGTGCTCACGCTGCGGTCGCTACCGCAGGCTGGGCTCGAGTATCGCGCAGTGCACTCAAGGGGCCCCAGGAAGACTTCCGAGACGGCCAGCGGGGCCCCCAGACGCTCCCAGAAGCTCCAACAGGCCTGTCGGTCGGGCCGCAGAGGCCGGTGAGGAGGCCAAGAGGCCTGCCGGAACGGCCAAGAGGGTTCCCAGCAGGTCCACCAAAGCAATTTGAAGTTTCATTGCCGAACGCAGTGAAAGTGGCGTAGTCTTAAGCCAGGCGTGTCCCTCTACAGGAGGAAAAGCCAAATATGATATACCAAAAAGTCTGGGGACGTTTTTTGAGTAGTTTGGAGCATGTTGGGTATATGCTTGACTCTGTTTAATTTTTCGTCCAAGATCCGCCAGTAGGTGGACATGCCCGATCTAAGCGTAATTTCTCAACCGGTTGCGCTTGGTCGCGCAATTGTTGTTCGATGATTGTTGTTGGTTGTCGTAGATGTTCTGCGTCTTGTCCAGCGCTCATGACTGCGATGATTTGTGAGGCTGGCTTGCCAAGATCAGCTGCCTTTGCCGTCTGCCAGGCCCCGACGTTGATGGGTCTGGAGCTGGTTCGTCCTTGTGCGGTGCAGCGTTGCAGTATGTTTCTAGCATGCCATTGATGAGTGGCCGATCCTTCCGTGTTATGTATGCCACGTGCTCGTTGGTGGCGCCGAAAAGAGGCTGTGGCACGCAGTCGTCGCGCTTGGGTGTAGGTGCACTCTGCTGTTGTAGCTTGGGTCTTGGCGTGGTAGGTCGAGGTGGCCGTGGTTGGTGTGGGTGGTGTTCCCAGAGATTGGTTGCGTCGGGTTGGTCTGGGGTCGTGTAGTAGGTTGGTTTGTGTTGTGCAAAGCATGTGGTGCCCATGTTTTTAGAGGTGTCCCTGGCTGCTGCTGGAAGGTGGGTCATGTGCCCTTGCCGTAGTTGTGTTGCTGTCGGTAGTTGTTATTCTCTGTGTGCTTGCCTTTCGCATGGGGGAGATGATGCATAATCCGCATTGTGTAGGACCTCGGTCGTGGTGGTTGTTGTTGTTGCGCGCTGTGATGTTGGTTGGGTGGCTGTCGAGTGGGTGTCCCGTGCGAGTAAGTCGTGGTCTGGTGCAACTCGTAGTAGTACTCATACTGCTGCTGATGGCAACCCTCGTTATGTCGGTGACGTCGTCGTGGATGTAATGCTGGTGCTGCGTATGCAAAACGCATGCAGCGTAGTGCAGGTGCAGTGTAACGGGTTGGGTGTCGGCGTGGGAGGTGTCTTGAGGGCCTTGGTGCAGATATGGAGAACATGTAAGGGACAACATAACCGTGAGTAATAGGTGCGAGTGTAAAACGTTATGGGTGTTGAAGAGGATGTATTACGTATGATGCAGTTCGTGGGCTGCCGCTCTGTTGGCTGCCACGCTGCCTGCGGCCTAGTGTCCTCGGGCCCTCGGCTTCATCCCCTTTCTCATCTTGTGCTTCCCCTCCCTCCTCCCGCCAGCCGTCTACTCGCCTGTGGACGCGCAATGATCTGTTCGCCTTGAACGGCGCAGACGCGGGTTGTCTGTGCCCCAGCGCGAGCGCCGTTTGAGGCATCGTCTCAGAGTGCGACGCGGCGACGTCTGTGGTGAGTGGCAGTGCTTCGAACAACAGTTCAACTCTTTGGCGTCTTCCCGCGGTGTTGGCCGCACGCGCAGACCCCATTATTGTTTGTCCACGATCGGCACAATCATTCCCCGATGTGCGCTCGACAAAAGAATCGCCCGCCCATTCGATGTCGCAGCGGCGTCCCAGCAATCATTGCCTTGGCCTCTGCTCTCTGTCAAGTCTGCTCTGGGCGCTGACCCGCCGACTGCAGTGGAGCAGTGGCGCGCTCCTCCTCCTCCTCCTCCTCCTCCTCCTCCTCCTCCTCCTCCTCCTCCTGCCCTGCGGATTCTCTCCTCTCTTCTCGCGGCATTGCGCCTCCACAGCCTTCTCATCATCGGCATTTGCTGTAACGAGTTGGCGCGTAGCTTTGGTGCACGGGCTGTGAGGGCAGAGCGGCATGCACCCGCAAATAGCAGGGGGCACCAATCCCGCCCGCATTGTAGACATTGCCTGCTGCACGTTGTGTCTCCGCGCTGCGAGGCGCGTAGCTTTTCAGAATTGTGAGGTGACAGTGACCTTGCTGTTTTTTACCAGGTTGCAACCTATCCCTACCGTTGTGTCCGGCATCGCATCACCTCGATGCCGATCTGAAGGCTTCCCGCGGTTGCCGAAGCCACATCCCCAGGACTGTCCGCGCTTTTTGCTCGCCCGGCGCGGGGACGGGGGCACGTGCGAGGCTGGCCAGTTTTGGAGCTGAGGCAGCACGCTCGGCTGCGGGCCCTCGTGTATTTGGCCGTGGGAGGCCCACTCGGGGCGACTCCCCATAGGGGGCCTTGGTGGCCGGGCCTCTGGCCGCAGCCCCCCCCGGGGGGCCGCGGCGGCGCGTGCTGCAGGGTCAGGGAGCTGCCCTGGGCCCAAGTCGGGCCCGCCCCTCTGCAGGAGGAGTGTTCGAACACAGTCAGCGAAACAGTCCGGGGAATAGTTTTTGGGATAGTTTTTGGAATATGTTGGGCGTATCTGTTCTACTATTCATTCCGTCGTTCGCAAACAACTCCCTGTAGGGGGACAGGCCCGCCCCAGCTCATGTCCCCGAGGGGGGGGGGGCTCAGGGGGACAAGTTTCGACAGGGGGGGGGCAGTAACTAGGCTCGGAAGGGAGCGCGTCGACCTCCCATAGCCCCTTCGCCGCCGAGCGACGGGGCTCGCTCCCCCCACACCCCGCTCAGGAACGTGCTGCTCCGCGATGGGGAGCCTATCGCGGGCGATGCATCGCCGATTCCAGGGCGCTGTTCCCCCCCCCCCCCGAGCCAGTTTCCCCTGCTATAGCTCCCCTGCAAGGGGGTTGGGCCGGGGAGCCACGGTGGCCCCGGGGGAAAGCATCGACCCGCAGTCGGGCCCTCCTCGCCGATCGGGGTCTCGGTCCCCCCTCTCCCGCCCAGGGGCGTGCGGGCTCGCAGCCGGGGGCCCATCGCTGATCTGTCGGCGGTGCAGCGACGATGCCGAGGCCATGCTTCCCCACTGCCGTTCCCCTCCAGGGTTAAGTCGGGCCTGTCCCTCTACGGGAGGAAGATTCAGGAGCAATCAAGCAATAGTCTGGGGACGATTTCATAAACTTATGTTTGTACTATGTTTGAGCATGTTTTGGCTATTTTCAGTTTTTCCGCATAGTGAGGATGGGCAACCTTCCCAAGGGCACCCTTGCATCCTTGCCTCCTCGGTCCACCCTTGGCCACTTTCGTCGGCCGCGCCCCGCTCGAGAAGCTTCGACATGGGCGTCCAAGGCCCTTGCATCCTTATCGCGCATCCTCACTACACGGGTTGACTACTAAGCTCCGCACGCTGGAGGTTCCCCCACGCTGAGGCATTTTTTTCCGGTGTTTATCTTCACTCCCGTGAAAGCAGCACGGTAGGTGAGTCTTCGAGGCGCGAAGTAGCGTTCTTCTGCTACGCGTCCCAGCGGCCGCCGCCGCACGACGTCAGTCTGCCTGGCTCGTCAGCTGGGCTGATTGAGACTGCAGGGATGGCTGCGCTCCAGGCGCGCATTCCTGCCCGCGAGGCGGCGGCGGCGGCACGGCCTGCTGCTGCGTCCTCGCGAGATGCAACTTGACCAGAGTTTTGTCGGATGGCGTGCTCGGTCTATTATATATGGGGTCCTATGGGACCGTCCTTTTCTTCCCGCTCGCTGTCTTCCCTCGGTCGCCGATCTGTGAGGTTTACTGCGCTCAGCGGCTGAGGGCTGGTCGTCATCGGCCATCTGTGCCGATGTGGTGTACAAATCGTTCAGGCCCTCAGGGGATCGCTGACAAAAAAAAACACGGGTTGACTATACTTTCGGAGGTCCACGCGGATTTCCTGGGTCGACGCTGGACCCGATGGCTGCGCCGGCGCTCTTGGCACGCCCCAGCCCATGTCCCCGAGGAGGGGGGGGCTCAAGGGGACAAGTTTCGACAGGGGGGGGGCAGTCACCAGGCTCGGAAGGGAGCGCGTCGACCTCCCATAGCCCCTTCGCCGCCGAGCGACGGGGCTCGCTCCCCCCACACCCCGCTCAGGAACGTGCTGCTCCGCGATGGGGAGCCTATCGCGGGCGATGCATCGCCGATTCCAGGGCGCTGTTCCCCCCCCCCCCCGAGCCAGTTTCCCCTGCTATAGCTCCCCTGCAAGGGGGTTGGGCCGGGGAGCCACGGTGGCCCAGGGGGAAAGCATCGACCCGCAGTCGGGCCCTCCTCGCCGATCGGGGTCTCGGTCCCCCCTCTCCCGCCCAGGGGCGTGCGGGCTCGCAGCCGGGGGCCCATCGCTGATCTGTCGGCGGTGCAGCGACGATGCCGAGGCCATGCTTCCCCACTGCCGTTCCCCTCCAGGGTTAAGTCGGGCCTGTCCCTCTACGGGAGGAAGATTCAGGAGCAATCAAGCAATAGTCTGGGGACGATTTCATAAACTTATGTTTGTACTATGTTTGATCATGTTTTGGCTATTTTCAGTTTTTCCTCCAAAATCCGCCTGTCGGTGGACATGCCCGACCTAACTCCACGGAAAAGGAGACGGGCCCGAGCAGCAACAGACTGCATGCATCTATACTCTCGGCGGTCCACTGCGGGAGCAACAGACCTTCACGCTTTGAGAGCAGCAGACCTGGCAGTATCGGTAGATCGTTCGGCGGTCGCGCTGGTCCCGTGGTACAGATTCAGGTGCTCCGTTGTTTCCTGGGGACAAAACATAAAGTCAACCCGCATAGTGAGGATGGGCAACCTTCCCAAGGGCACCCTTGCATCCTTGCCTCCTCGGTCCACCCTTGGCCACTTTCGTCGGCCGCGCCCCGCTCGAGAAGCTTCGACATGGGCGTCCAAGACCCTTGCATCCTTATCGCGCATCCTCACTACACGGGTTGACTACTAAGCTCCGCACGCTGGAGGTTCCCCCACGCTGAGGCATTTTTTTCCGGTGTTTATCTTCACTCCCGTGAAAGCAGCACGGTAGGTGAGTCTTCGAGGCGCGAAGTAGCGTTCTTCTGCTACGCGTCCCAGCGGCCGCCGCCGCACGACGTCAGTCTGCCTGGCTCGTCAGCTGGGCTGATTGAGACTGCAGGGATGGCTGCGCTCCAGGCGCGCATTCCTGCCCGCGAGGCGGCGGCGGCGGCACGGCCTGCTGCTGCGTCCTCGCGAGATGCAACTTGACCAGAGTTTTGTCGGATGGCGTGCTCGGTCTATTATATATGGGGTCCTATGGGACCGTCCTTTTCTTCCCGCTCGCTGTCTTCCCTCGGTCGCCGATCTGTGAGGTTTACTGCGCTCAGCGGCTGAGGGCTGGTCGTCATCGGCCATCTGTGCCGATGTGGTGTACAAATCGTTCAGGCCCTCAGGGGATCGCTGACAAAAAACACGGGTTGACTATACTTTCGGAGGTCCACGCGGATTTCCTGGGTCGACGCTGGACCCGATGGCTGCGCCGGCGCTCTTGGCACGCCCGGCGGCCCAGCGCGCCAGGGAAGGGGATCCAGCGCCGATGGGGGAAGCCCGCGCGGACCTCCGACAGCTCCTGTGCTTCATGTGTGGCGTCGTCTTCGACAGGGGGGAGGGGGGTGGCAGTAGGAGAGAAGGAATGAGGATTACCAGCTGGAAACGTATCCCTATCCCTGTGTTTGGCATCACCTTACCTCGGTGCTGAACTTACGGGTTCCCTCAGTTTCTGAGGGCACATCCCTAAGAGTCATCGCCTTGGGCTTGCCGATCTTAGGGATAGGGATAGGTTCGATGCTGGTTAGATGAGGGAAGCGAAAGTGGTGGGCGGGATCGGAGGGGCAGAAGAACAGGGGGCCATCTCGGGGCTCTCTGCGGGCCGTCCCGGGCCGTCTGGGGGCCCTCGCGGGGTTCTCTGGGTGCTCGGAGACTGTACCAGTGGGGGCGCGTGCCAAGAAGCCAGTTGGATTTTGCCAGGGTGCCCTGGGTTTCTTGGATTTCGATGGGCTTCCAATCAGATCTTGACGATTTTCGATCGACTCATGTGGATTTTCACTGAGCAAATCGCGGATTTCAGGGTTGGGTGTCTTGCGGAGGTTTCTTGTGGCCGAGCCCCCACTGTAGGTGGCCCGATCTTGGACCGCACAGCATTGCAAGTGAAAGCGTTGCAGGGTCACATGAAAGAAAGTTTTGGCCTCGCGAGGGCCTCCTGGAGAGCGTCTCGGGAATTGTCTGCGAGTCTCTTGGCGACCCCAGGCGACGTATTGGGCGCCTCTTACGGGTTTTTGGGTGCGTCTTGAGGCGATGTTGGACCATCTTCGCGGCCTTTCTGTACATCCTTTGCTGCTGTTGTACCAGTTGTAAGCCTTTGAGAGCCTTGGACTGCCTCAGGTACGCGCGGAGGTCCAGAGAGCTTGGGAGGTGGCGGCCATGCCTGCGGCACTTCGTGGCCACGAGTGGGATGCTGAAACTATGACAGAAGCCCTCAGTATTGCAGACACTACGTGTCATTCTACGACGCCTCAACGTGCCAGGGGCATTGCGGATATGTCCTCTACGGCCCGTCCCAGAGTTTATTCGGTATCGCTTCCAGTTGTTGGCTCATCACTTGTTCTTGGTATTCTCTCGGGTGTTCGGCTCAGGTCATGGGCAGGTCAGGAGGAATTTGTAACGGAGGGGGGTTGCATAGCCACATTTTAAACTGGGACGTGTTGAATATGTTACGTATTGCGACAATCCCCCAGATCATTGCCTTTCCAGAATCTAGTCCCGTCGCGAAAGCTCGCAGGAGATCGGCGCCATGTCCAAGCAGATCGACGCCCTGAAGAGCCAACGCAGTGTCATAGTTGGAGAG